AAGAAGCACTGCCAAGGACTGGCATTTAATATTCGCGTAATAGCACCATCTTCCGCTTCACAGGTACATACATAACAATCAAATGATCGGCAACATCTTCGGGTCGTGTATTTATAAAATAAGTGTGCATAATATCATCACAGTTCATTTATTGAACTGTACAATCTGTGGTCGTTGCGTCATTTTATTAAAAAAAAAATATGGCATACTGAATTTTGGCACTCGGCCCAAACTAATCTAAAAGATCGGCGGATTTGGATTGAGCATCGATTGATGATTCTGATCGTTATATAGCAATCGAATTGCCCTGATGGCATGTATATTTTTCTCGTGCGTATAATTTACATATTCGAATGCTGGAATCGATCCAATAATTGTTTATTTTACGTTATAAAACTATCGATTTATTTCTATCACCAACAAAGTTAGGATTACGATCTATAATTTGACACGATTTCAATTTTAAATGGACTTTGCGTAATTCTCTTTATCGAAACACAAACCTAATTATTGTCTTTATTCTTTAAAATTTATACATTGTTAATAAACGCCTCTGTGAATTATACAGGTACAGTAATTAGTTTCTTTACTAAGTATATTATTTAACTAATTATGAAAGTTGTTAAATTTATTCAATTTAAAATGTGTATTTTATTTAATCATAAATGTTATTAATCGTAGTTATACTAATGCTGAAATTTATATACTAATGTGTTTAGATTTTAAAATAAATTACCGAACGAAATTTATTGATATTATTATTAATTATTTGTATAATGAAATTTATTAAAATGATATAATTAATGAGATTTAATGTTTTAAAATTAGATTAATGTAAAGATAAATGTACATTTTTTAATTCTTTCAAATCAATATTTTGTTTCATTTCATGTAAAAATAGTTTTGTTTACACATTACTTTACTGTTGACTTATTCTATTTTACATATATTATATTATATTTTTCTTTCAACTATCTATTACCATAACTATTAAACATAATTAATTAATGCTATATGATGCTACGACCAATAGAAACGAAGCATCAGTGATAAATGTAGTGGAAACGGAGAAAATTCATATTTGAGAGCTTCGGTTGCGTGCGTGCGAACAAAGTCGCGGACACAGCTAGTATAAAGATAAACGTAAAGTTTTAAATTCTTTAGTCAATATTTTGAGTCATTTCAATTTATAAATATAGACGACCTCGGTGGTCTAGCGGTCTGGCACACCGCTTTACGACCTATGGTCGCGGGTTCGATTCCTCGCACAAACATTTGTATTCATGAGTGTGATTGTTTGTATCGGTCTGGATGTTTTCTATGTATAATATATATGTATTTACAAAAAAAAATATCTATGTATATGTATCAGTTATCTAGTACCTATAACACAAGCTTTAGCTAGCTTAACTTGGGTCTAGATGGCGCTGTGTGAATTGTCCTGAGATTATGATTATTATTATTATTATTAGTTTTGTCTACACATTACTTTACTGTTGACTTATTCGCATATTATACTATACACTATATTATATTATATTTTTCTTTCAACTTTCTATTACTTCATCATATTTAATTCATTATAATTAATGAGATTTATTGTTTTACAATTAGATTAATGTAGAGTTTATAATCTTTAGTCAATATTTTAGGGTCGACCTTATACGCTTGTCGAGTGTAATCCAAATTAATATTTTATAATCTCGTGAGCGACGCACTTGTACGCCATTTATAATTTTAGATAAACATTTCAAAATGTTTTATAGGTCATGATCAATTCCACTATAATTTTCCTGGCGAAGATTGTAGAAACATCGAGAATAATTATACACTTTGTCAAGGTATCATTGTTATTTTGATATGTTATTTCTTAACATAGTATAGTATAGCCTTTCATATTTCAGAGAGATTTTTAAAAAAGATATAGACTTCGCAAAAAGTAGTCTGTATAAGTACCTAAGTTTTACACAGGGATGTTAGGGACCTCCTTAACCGTAACCGAAACTATCGGATATCCGATATAAAAAAATATTCGTAACCGTAACCGAATCCGACATAGCCCGAAGAATTGCGACTCTGAAGTGGCAATGGGGCACATAGCTCGTAGGACAGATGGCCGTTGGGGCAATAAAGTCCTCGAGTGGCGACCACGGACCGGAAGACGTAGCGTGGGAAGGCCTCCAGCAAGGTGGACCGACGATCTGGTCAAGATCGCTGGAAGGCATTGGATGCGAGCAGCGCAGGACCGATCGTCGTGGAGATCTTTGGGGGAGGCCTATGTCCAGCAGTGGACGTCTTCCTGGCTGCGATGATGATGATGAACCGAATCCGAAATAAAAGTTTCGCATAATAGCGGGGCCTAATTGAGAAACGTCATGTAAACATTTTATTAGCCATTTTTATTTTACTTTTAAAATTCCTTAATAAAAAATATTATCCGAAACTAACTGATAATCCGAAATTGTATATCCGCATCCGTAATCGTATCCGGTATAATAATCATTCGTTTATCCGAAACGTTTCCGTATCCGAAATTTCATATACATAACATCCTTGGTTTTACCTATTTCAACCACCAAACAGGTTGAGAGGTTTTCTTCCGAGCCTGTAGCATGGAGTTTTTCAGGCCAACGGTATTATAGTTTAAAAAAGTCTTCTTATCTTTACAGATTCAGTTGTATCAGCAATCATATGGACATATGATTTATGGATTACATTAATAGTTTCTATATTCTTATTTAGACTGTAAATTTGGACTGGTCTGTTCGGGTTACGAACACTGATTAGACTTTGCTTTTGCAGTAGTATATACTGGTGGTCAATCTATTCTTCGAAATTTTGATTTTAAAAACGAATCTGTATTATAGTAAACATGTAGAACCCTATTTGAAAAGATTACGAGCAGAGTTTCTTGTCAGTTCTTCTCATCTCGAAATCATTCCGAACTGACGGTAGATTTGACATGTCATAAGAGTCTTCATAGACCTACATGAAAAGAAATATTGAATAGAAATATTTTGAATTTGAATTGCTGCCAGCGTGTGTACAGTCCCACCTATTTCATCTAAACAGCTCGCTTTGTAAGATGTGTTTGGGTTCATATGATTTCGATACTTATGTATTATATATAAGTATGTATATAAAATAATATGTATTATTGATAAATTAAATGTAATATTTTAGATACGTCTATGAATTATGATAAAAATTTACCATGTAGATATATTTTTAAACTACTCGTATAATGCGCCGCTTACTAATTTCTCTGTTTGTCTGCAGAGAATGCCCTTTGATGTTAAGTTCGCCATATATATTTACGCATTAAAGGTTAAATAAATAAATATGTTAAAACAGTAGTAGCAATTCTGCTGTGAGCAGTATAATGCTCGAACTTACAGGCGCCATCCTCTACCACCACTGGTCGTCAAACGTTGCGTCGATGACGGCATTGCTCATGGACATCATCGATCAGTGAGAAGCACTGCTCATCACGCGACACATATGAGCACCAATAAAAAGGGTGGATACTCCACACCTATGTAATTCAAAAACGTTAAGTTGTTACAATAAACGCTTCATGAGAAGAGGTCATAGTTTCATTTAAAGACACTCTTCCTTATTAAAATAAATTAGACACTGAAATTAAAGGATAAAGAGAATGGCATCTTAGTTCCGAGAAATAGCAATGTCTATTCATAATATTATTACAAGATAACCGGATATCCATATTCACGTTTATGAATTCATGTTTACTTAAAATAAATTGGGTAAGAAAGTTATATAAAATTTCGCATTTATAATAATGTGCTGACCCCAAATGGGATTATAAAAAAACAGATGATGATACAATTCGACAAATTAAAATTGTAATATCTCTATTTTTGTCTATTTCAGACATTAACGATGTATCAAATCAACCGTCAATTCAGAGTACTTCTTAGCTAAGAAGAACTGACAAGAAACTCAGGTTTTCAAATGAGCTTGTTGTGAATAAAAAATACATAATCATTTTTAAATTAAATTAGGTTTAACATAGTGTCCACCAGCTACATATAATCTATAATATTAATAATTAATATCGCATACTATTGCTGCTTAATAAAAAACACGTTTTTAGATATATATACATCATATACCCAGAAACTTAAAAAACATATAAAAATTCTTTTTCTAATTTAATATTAAGTAATATATAAATATTATAAAAGCGGAATACTGTATTTTAAGAGTGCGTTAAAATTACTATATAAAATAATATATATAAATATGTAGACAAACACCCATAGGAGTTTTGCAAGACAGTAATTGTAAACTATATAACAATTGAAAAATAAAGATTTTATCTGTCTTTTTTTATAATAATAATAACATATCAGAACAGGAAGTTTGAAAGTTGAGCTGGTATGGGCATGTTATGCGGAGGAATGAGGACCATGTCTTATGGAAAGTGTATAATATGAATGTGGATGGATGTAAAGGGAGGGGACGCCCTAAGAAAAGATGGATGGATTGTGTGAAAGATGATATGAATAAAAGAAGAGTAAGTTTAGATATGACAACCGATAGAGAGCAGTGGAAGAGAATGACATACTGCGCCGACCCCAAATAATGGGATAAAGTATCAAATAACATATCAGAACAATTAATACAGCGCTGTGTTATGGGTACTAGACAACTGATGTAAATACATGAATACATTTTTTTTGTAAATAAATACATTATACATAGAAGACGCCCAGACTGATTCAAACAATCATTTTCATAAATACAAAATGTTTGTACCGTGCGAGGAATGAACCCGCGACCATCGGATAGTAAAGCGGCGTGTTAAACCACTAGACCACCGAGTATCAAAATTAGTTTATGCATATAGGATAGAAAATTTAAACATTATTAGATTCACGATTCATTTATTCATTCAACTATGGGTACAGTGATAACGTTATACATATTACAGAAGTATATAACAATAAGAGGACATATTAGTAATACATAGCTAGCTAGTATGGGTAACATTAATATTATACGGAAATCGTAGAGATCATATTTATTTAGTAGGTTCTGGTTTTGGTGAAATGCCCCTGTCGGAATTTGGGGAGCTATTGCCAGAAGTACTTTGCGGACTTCTTTCGTTGACCTGAAATATAAAAAAAAACAGACATATTTTCATTTTTATTCATTCATTTTATTTTATTCATTCATTTCATTCATTTTTATATTATAGATAATATAATAATGAATCGCTGCATGTGTTGGTAAGCGCAAATCTCGAGAACTACTGAACCGATTTCGCTAAATCTTTTTTTAGAATTGTAGTACGAGGATGGTTCTTCGAGGAAATTGCCTAAAAATACCTAAAAACAACATTTTTCTGTAATCCCAGCTGACCTGGCGTCCCGAATAGTAGAGTAAGTATTGAATAAACTAAAAAAATAAAGAATCGACTGTTAGGCGTTACGATGTTCGCCGGGAAGGGGCTTGTTAGTAATGTACAATGTACCATGTCAGGTCGACCTCCACGCGGTTCCCCCTGGAAACCATTGTGTTAAATTCCTGATAAATGTCACGATGGGCTAACTGACCTGACCTCATGCTCATCTTATCATCCTCTACTGGTGCCCCGCCAGCGTAAACCGTTCCGGTGAACCATTCCATTATCATACAAAAAAAAAAAAAAGTTCGCCGGGTCAGCTACATAATTATATAACTTCACGACCTATAACATAGACTGTGGGCTCACTTGGCTTCCTTCGGGTGCTCATAATTATATGAATCGGATCATAATAATGATAATCATCACCAACACATTGCAGTTTACGACTGAACAGAGGCTTCTCCCAAGGCATGCCAGTGCGCACGATCTTGATCCCTTCTCTTCCAGGTATTACACAGAACCCTACATGTCGTCGCTCCACCTAGCTGCGGGGCATCCTACACTACATTTTCCACTTCAATTAGAATAATAATATTTCAGGACAACTCAAACAGTGCTGTAGTCCCAACCTAAGCAAGAGCTTGTGTTATGTGTAATAGATAATAGTCATAAATCCATAAATACATTTTCATATTTTTTTAATACATGCAATATACAAAGAACACATCCAGATAGCTACAAATAGTCAATGAATATAAATATCTGTGCCGTGCGAGGAATTGAACTTACGACCATTGGAAGAAAGGCAAAGTGCTAAACCGCTAGACCACTGAGGTCGTCTATATATAGCATACGTCGCTCTGTCGCCTTTCAAATAGAGTAAGTTTCTCATATTATCAAATTTAATGGTTATACCAAAATCTGGTCCTTCGGTGACCTTTTTTTTTATTTATACCGCAAATTCAGAAAATAAATTAATTCATAAAGATTTATTACTTCGGTCTATATACGAAATCACGATCGTTGTGTCAGTATTGGATAGTTGAAGTTATAAATATCAAAATACCCCAACTAGAATAGCAGTCGTGAACGTATATGAGTCATCATCTGCTTCTTCCTTATCCCATTTATTTGGGGTCGGCGTAATATGTTTTTCGCTTCCATTCATCCCTGTTCGCAGTCATCGCGTTATTTACATCCTTTCTTACCATATCATCTTTCACACAGTCCATCCATCTCTTTTTCGGCCTTCCTCGTGAAGGTATATGAGTAGTGTACATAAACAAGAGAGGGCATAAATTTCCAGAACGTGGCTATCATATCCCAGCCATGGGAACAATATATCGCGGCTTTATTGTTTTATTCGCTACACAGGCGACAGTTTTTGCAGCGGCTTACGTACAAATCAATTACTTTTTAACATATTTATGTATTTGTTTATTATGATGAATATATTTATGTATTATATGATATGTATGTTTATTCCTATATTTTTGTATTACTATTTATATTTATGTATATACGTATTTATGTATTTTACTTTTGTTTTAGATTATACAATTTGTTATTTTAATTTTATTTAGTATCTATCCTTTGACATTTTTTTTTTTGTTTGCACCAATTATTACCCACTCAGTACCACATATCCCACTGTTTTAGGTTGACTGGAAGAGATCTCTTCTAGGGATAAGTCCACCTTTGCTCACATTGTCTCTAAATTATAATATCTTTTTATTATCTGTGCAATAAAGAATATATATATATATATATAACATAGTGCCGGAAATACGAAACTCCGCATTGCGGGTCTTCGACGGGCCCGGGGTGGAATGCTTTGCAGTTGTCACAAAGGGTTCTAACAAGCAATTTTTCTGTATTACCACATTGTTAGAAAGAACAAGATCTGAACTAATGTTATAAAGACAAATAATTTTTCAGTTCTTTATATATATTACCGGCCTCGGTGGTTTAGAATAGAATAGAAAATCATTTATTCAAATAAAATTACATTGAAACACTTTTGAATAGTCATTACATTTTTTTAGTGGTTTAGAACACGCCTTTACTTGCTATGGTCAGGGTTCGATTTCTTGTACGATGCAAGCAATTTTAATTTATGAGTATGTTTAAACATGTTTGGATTTTTATTATGTTTATATTTCAGTATTTATATCAGTTGTCCCATAACACAAGCTATGTTTACCGTGGGACCAGACTAGCGCTGTGTTAATTGTCCAGGGTTATTTATTTGATATTATTATTTATCTTTATAATAATACTAACGTAACATCCTATTGACGTAAAGTGTTCAATATCTGTTGCGTAGTTTATTAGATCTAAGCGTACTCATAAATAAGCCGCCATCCTGAGTTTTTTTAATATAATCTAGAATAAAGTTATTCTAAAGTATATTAGAAAAACTCAGGATAATTCATAGAGCAAAACTAAAGACAGTTTCACTAAAGTCACTAAGCAACAGATAGAAATACTGGAATAGATTTTTTTTATAAATACACAAATTATACCCACAACCAAATTAGTTTTTGTTTTTTTTTCCATTACATAGTATAAAACATAGTCGCTTTCGCTGTCTAGCATCTATGTATGCTTAAATCTTTAAAACTACGCAACGGATTCTAAAACGATTTTTTTTAATAGATAGAGTGATTCGAGAGGAAGGTTTATATGTATGATACATGTACACCCGGGCGAAGCCGGGGCAAGTAGCTAGTAAATTTATAAAACACTTTATAGGATTCATTGCAAATAGAATAACAAATTGATATAATTTTTATAATTGTAGAATCTCTTTCCATCACACCTGTTCATACTGATTACAGTATTTTTTAATGAATTTATTTATTTATTTATTATTTTTGCGTGAAATTAGAACAAAATCACAGGATCTTACCTCTTTTTCTTTATATTAGTTTAGCATAGCGGTTGAACGGTGCCAAAATATCGTGTTTTCTTTTTAATTTTCCGTATAAATATTGATTATTGATTGTAATTTATGAAAAAAATACATTCATAGTTTATGTACAAGTTCTCTAGTATAAATTAAAAGTGTTATCAGCCTGAAATGGCTAAAGATACTGCTATTATTAATCTAACAGGCACTTAATATTCATGAATTATGAAAACTACTGAACTCTACGTTTTCAATTATACAGTTGAACGAACAAGTATGAACGTAATAAACAAGGTATGAAATTTTGTAATTAACTGAAGTAGTTTGAGTGGGTACTTATCTATATTTATCTATTTTAGTAAAGCAGCTTGACTTGTAAACTGTTTCGATTGAAGATTCAAAACATATCAAAAATCATTTATTCATATATGATATTTAATTTGCTTATGTACGTCAAGTTTTTTGGTTAATATTCGTTTTCTACAGTTCAGTATGGTATACAGATTTAGTTGAGAAGAACTGGCAAGAATCTCAACTGAATTTCTTTTTTTTTTAGATGCCTGGTTGTAGATATTGTGTACTTATATAGGTGTCTATATCTAAAATTAAATGAAAATTCCGTGCATGAGCAACTGTTATAGCAACAGTTGTTCATGCACGTTTGTTATTTAAGTAATCATATAGTGAGTAATGGGTTTCGCACAGAAAACATGATTTTAAAGATGTTTTAAACTAATTCAAAGCAACTCTAGTATAGTTTTGGATTTTATTGATGACTTGATGATTGACTTTGGTTGAGATAAGCTAGTGAAATTATAGAATAAGAGACATGACAACTTTCTTATTTCTCAAGAAGGATTCAGGTGTGTAGCTTAAATAAAATGTAATAAAAAAAATTACATCCATTGTGCTGTTTCTAGACATAGATACGATTACCCCCTTACCATTATGTGGGGTGTTAATTTGTTTGTCATTATATTTATTAAGAATCGTGGCATATATGTAAAATTTTAGACACTTTTCGGTTCACGCAATTTCAGTTCTTGTTTAAGATTAACAGGTTGGCTAGTAGCTACTAGATGGCGCTGTACCAAATACAGGTCTTTAAATGCAAAAAATCTTAATAGCGCCATTTAATTTGACTACAGTGCCATCTATTGGGCACTAGACAAACGGCCTAAAGTAACGAACATGTAAATACAACACCCTAAACACGAACTGAAATAGACTTTACAGTTGCGTAACATAAGGTATATTTTTATTAATAAATGTAGGTCATTAAAAGCAATATCAACTTACAATACCATCTAGTGAGTAATAGACCGTTCATTTATTTCGTACACAAGAAATTAACTTTAAAGTTATAGGCCATAAGGTTTATTTTGATGTTGAAGATACCTGTAACCCAGTATGGAGCATATTGGCGATAGTTTCAACATCCAGTGTAGAATCTTGAGCCGAGATCTTCTTAATAGCTGACGATACGATGCAAATATCGCCCCTCAGCTCTCGAACCAATGCTGTTATTTTCTGTGCATTGCTGAGAACCTCAACACTCTGGGTGTATGGATTGTAACGGACACCAAACGGACGCTGTATGCTATCAGCGAAAGCCCTGAAATTATAAATAGTTAAAAAACTAAACAATGTAATATAATGTAATGTAATATGAACTCTATTGCCTGCGTTTAGCGTCTTATCTGGAACGTTATGCCTTTAGAGCAGATACTACTAAAGTAGCTAGTAAAAACTAAACAATCGCTATGACGTATACTAATAATAGCAGGTATGTATTAGTTTGAACAACTTTTCGCAAGGAAAAAAATATATAAAAGAAAATTTGGTACCTAAATTGGGAAATAAGCTAAAGGCCTACCAGAAGTTAAATGACAGCACTTTACATGAACAAAACCACGTTATTATGTGAAGTCTATGGTATTTTTCATGTACTGTCATATAATTCAGAAGTACTTAAGTTTTTATGCCTCCATACCTTAACCGAAACATAGCATAAAAAATCTACCTCAATTAAAGCACAACTACTTAATAAATAAATGTATTTGGTTTTAATTTGATTTATTCTTTACAATCGTAAATAATAATATGTCGTGAAAATTACCAATGCGTCGTCTAGTCATAAGCTAAGTAGAGTTAGCGGATTACACCTCTACACTTCCGATGGTCGCGAGTTCGATTCCTCGAAATATACAAACTTTTATATTCATGAATATGATTGTTTGTATCGGCCTGGGTGTTTTCTGCTAATATTGTTTATGTATTTACAAAAAAAATGTATTTAAGCAACATAAATGACTTATCTCGTACAAATAACACAAGATCTGCGTAGCTTGGGACTAGATGGCGTTGTGTGAACTATCGAAGTATATATTACTAATACGAAGATGGAAAGGAGAGGACTATCTGTTATTATAAAAATCTATGTACCTCATCTTCTCCTTAGCTTCTTCAAATGAATCGGTGTAGTAATAAGCGTTCTGATAAGATGTGATAATACATTCTTCATTAACAGTAACGTCAGGATCGAACCGCTTAATCTTGTCAGGTGTGCACAGAGCATGTTGAAGTTCAGCCACCGAAGAAAGTAGACCAGCACCGTACACTCGGAAGGTACCGTCCGGCTGACGACACAGACCGAACTCAACGGTAAAGAAGTAGAGCTGCAAAGAAATATGTTCTTTTGTTTTATAATATAGAAGATAGGAAGAAGAAAAGAGAAGAGTATTCAGAAGTTATGTCGTAGAATTAAAAATATATTAAAGTATATAATATTAAGTACATCGTAGAATTAGAACTGAATTAAACTATTTTTATTCTGTATATCTATTGTAGATATATGTAGATTACCCCGAAGGTACCATTAGGTTGAAGCCACAGACTAATTCAGCGGTAAAGAAGTAGAGATGCAAGGAAATACGTTCATTCCTTTTATTATGTAAACAATTCTACAAGAAATTAAGAAGAAGAGAAAAGAGTATTAACAAGTTATATCGTAGAATTAAAAATATATTGAAGTATATAATACTAAGTACATTTTAGAATTAAAACTATTTTTATTCTGTTTATCTGTTGTAGATATTTTTTATCCTTATCAAGAATATACGCTGACTCATCATAATGGGATAAAGGCAAGGCAATGATGATATCAAGAAAACTCTAGTATATATATAAAGATAAAAATTTTATAAAATCCATATTTATCTAAATAGAAACTTTTACACTTAGATATTCACATGTATTCTATACTTAATATATGCGCGACTAACTAATCTAAAAACTAATAATATCAAAGGCAAGTATCCCAATTTGGATGTTCCGAGTAATCTAAGGTACTTATGTAGATTAGTAGATTTTTTTTGTAAATTCAAATTCAAAAATCATTCTTACGATATTTTTAGCGTTATGATGATTTTAGCGGAATTAAACAAAGTAATATAAATCCATTAAGTACTTAGTATACAAATTCAAAAATCATTTATTCATATAGGACATTTTAGCCACTTCTGAACGTCAAGTTTTTACATTATAATTTTATTTTTTTCCCTACCGTCCAGCTCGGTATATAGATCCAATTGAGAAGAACTGGCAAGAAACTCAATTGTTTTTTTTAAGTAATATTGGGTACACCACTTATCAAACAAGGCTAGAAGAATATTGCTCCTATTTGTTTATTGTATAATAATAATAATAATATTTCAGGACAATTCACATAACGCCATCTAGTCCCAAGCTAAGCAGAGCTTGTGTTATGGGTACTAGACAACTGATATAAATACATGGATACATTTTTTTTTGTAAATAAATTCATATACATTGAAAACACCCAGACCGATACAATGATACTCATGAATACAGATGTTTGTACCGTGCGAGGAATCGAACCCACGACCAGCGGATAGTAAAGCGGTGTGCTAAACCACTAGACCACCGAGGCTGTCAAATAATAGGAGCAGAGCTGCAATGAAAAAAAATAACATTCGAACATAACGGATGACGCTTTTGAAATTTTTATCACCTTACCTATTTTTATCGCTAGCTAGTTTTTTACGACGTCTATTTATACCGATATTTCTTTACTGTAAAGGATTTGACAGTGAAAAAATTAGTGTACATAAGTATAATCCACTAGTCCTCAGGAATTGCTTCTAACGGGAGATATAATGGATTTAGCTATCCGTATGTCCTTTATATATGTGCTTTGATATTAGTTACTCTCTAGTCAACATTTTTGTTATATCACTCGTGAAAAGTCTTGCGTTCTCTTTTGTCATATTTAATATGAACTACGGTAGGTAGTTCAGTAATTTTTGGTATCTCATTTTTTAAAAAAAATTGCCTTTTGTTTTGTTTTGTCTACTGTTTGATACTAGCTGTACCCGCGACTTCGTCCGCGTGGAATTTTGCAACATCACTTTATTTTTCTAAAATAATAGTAGCCTAAGTTACTCCTTATTACATTGGCTACCTGCCAATAAAAGTCGCATCAAAATCGGTCCAGCCATTTCATAGATTATCCGCAACAAACAGACAGACAGACAAAAATTGTAAAAAATGTTATTTTGGTACATGTACCGTATTTATATTCGTATGCATGTAGTAAAAAACGGTTTTTTCAATATTACAAACAGACACTCCAATTTTATTTATATGTATATATTAATACCTACCGTAGCCAATTTATCGATATCTTCATCGGTAGCACCCAAAGATGCCAGACCAAGCTCCTGAGAGAACTGTGCGAAACTTGGATTCGCTAGCAAAGGCATGTGCCCGAGCAATTCATGGCAACAGTCCCTGAATGAAAATGTATGTTTATTATTAAAGCATATATATTACCTACATAACAGTCAATCAATAGAACAATCCAGTTATACAAATCATAAATTTACTGTTTGATTTATCACAGATACAAACTAAGAATGCACTCAGATAAGTAAATAAAGAAATATTTGTACATTATGTTTTACTATATTTATGATATTTTAAAACAACAGAAATGTATTTATATACCTATAATATGGTATGATCGTGTAAAGAATGTTAGTATTAATGAAATAGTCTAGACTATTTCATTAATACTAACATTCTTTACAAATATCTATATATTTCGCCATTGTTTTATCTAGATATTTCGCCATTGTTTTGGCTTGCAAACTTTTAATACTTTGTAAAATTAATGAAACAACATTTATTTTTGTTAGTTGTAAATCAACATTATTTAAACATATACCAAGAACTTTATCAATTAGTTGACTCGTAAGTTTTAGCTAAACATTTATTGATTGTATAAAAACAATTCTAATTCTTCAATTAGCCAAATTCTGAACTAGTATTTAATAGAATTCAGGGTCAAATTATAAATAAACAAATTTTATAATTTATTTCATATTGATATTGTTTGTTTATTTATTTCATTTGTTTATTTGCTTTATTGACCACTAGAATTTGTACAAAAGATGGACTTAATGCATTCTCTCCCAGTCAACCTTTGGGATGTGCATATATACTTGATAACGGCTAAAAGAATAAAAAAAAACAAAATACACATAAATACATGTATTTATGTGTATTTTGTATTAATACAATTAACCTACTTTTTAATACAACGAATATATTAATTATATACACATTGCTCAGGCGCGGTTGTACTATATTTGGCCCAATATATTAATATTATTTAACATAGCAACTCTGGAACGTCGATATTTCAGCGGCCCGGAGACAATACGCTAACGGTTAGAAGTTCATATTCGAAATTCGCTAACGATCATATACGCATTATCACACACAACCACTGTAAACCTATTTTCAAGTAATTAAAAAACTAGCTTGGAATCTCCGATTTTGATTACACCATCAAGACCCTCTTCTCACTAAAAGGCGTAAACATACATACATATTATACATAAATATATACATATTGTATTATAGTAGGTATATATTTATATTTATGTATGTATATTTGTAATTATTTTTAAGAAAACCTATTTACCTATATTAGGTAAAATTATAGGTTAGTCCTTTCCCACCACTGCCCATCAACCGCTTTCTGTTCTTACCTAATGGTTAGCTGGTAGAGAATGCCATATGGCATTAAGCTCGCCAAATTGTACAATCTTTAAAAGTGCAATAAAGAATAAATAAATAAATAAATATTTACAATTATGATAAAAATAAAAATTAAACTTATACACACGGTTCAGGAGTGTAGAATGGATCAGAAGAGTGCCGAATATACTGCGTGCAGTGGAACACTCGGAAAGCGAGACCTGATAGGAAGTCTCTAGGTGACAAATAACCAGCAACAGGACGAAGCTGAAAGCCTGTCTTCCGCTTCAAGAAAGCGCTCACATCTTCCAGCTGTAAAAAAATTAACAATACTTTCATAATAAATTACCTAATACAAGAAATTCACATCCTTTTTTTTAGATAAATTATTGTCAGTAGTGAAAACTGATTTCACCACTTCATACATATACATCTTTGTAATTTTGTTGTTATGGATAATAATGAATCAGGTACCCGCCTGCTAACGGTTTACGATGGCGGGGTTATCAGTGGAAGATTATAAAATGATTACGAAGTTAGATCATTTAGCCCATCTTGACAAAATAACTATGACTGTTTCTAGGGAGAATCAACCTGATATGGCAGATTGCTGTCAACAGGGTAATTAGTCCTATCTACTTCCACCCCAATAGATTATTATTGTAACTACGTATTCAAAGACTAATAGTGCTTGTGAAAATAATATCGGATCTAAAATGTGTAATTAGCGTATATTTTTTCAGAATAAAAAGTGTTTAATATTTACTCATTACTTTTTTTTATGTTTCTGATTGTTTGCCACAAGGTTGATCCAACAGTTAATACCTACATATATCGATCCACGAGCGTTTTTCTCGAGAGATCACATCAAGGGGTTTTTAAGAAGGGTTTAAAAAGGTTTCTTAAGGGTACAATGCACGTAATATTCCTGGTGTTTCAAGCGTCCGTAAGCTAGGTCACCATTTACCATCAGATTGACCATATGCTCGTTTACCACTATCATAGTAAAAAATATAGTTTATTTATATCTATATTCACGACAAATATAATTAGGAACATTTCAGTTATATTTACGAGTATTCTATTATGACTTATACAGCACTAAATTGACAGATATATGTATGTATATAAATAGACACATATTTCCTGTAATATACATTTGATCTACACCAAACCAAGCATCGTACTTATAGACGCTGACCTTGATCTAATAATCCCAATTATTCAACCCCTAGCTTTTCAAACAATAGGACAAAGCGAGGGGAACAGTTCAAAATATCTCGCCCTATCAAAAGATACACAGACAAATAAACCTGACCGAATGAATACGCATATAGAATAATATCACCGTCCTGTTTCACCATTCATTAGTACTTAGCATTGAAAGTTCTATAGCCAGTTCAATTCCCGCTCTCGTCGCTTAATATATGTATCATTACAGTAATGTACAGAGAGTTAATCAACTAATGACGGTACGTATTCAAGTCCATACGGGATTCAGAACCTTTTACAAAGAGAACATATGAGACACTGTATTTTAACTAGCATTTCCGCAGTTAAATCGGACCTGCCTTACCGCAAGATGGGAATAGATAAGGTATAAACTATAAATAAATATCTTAATTATATAAATGAAGTAATTCGTTATATTTATTTGAAAAAATGTAGCAACTTTTTTTAAACTAGTAGTCATCCAATGCTCGAAATTTAAGTACAATTCATTAAAATAATGCTGATGTTTTACATTCAGTAACACTGTAGATAAATAATGTTAAAAACTAACAATATTAATCTATACTAAATTTGACATGTGCCAAATACGTGGTAGAGACTGTAATGTCATATTATGTTATCTGTGGTAATATTTTTATATGTATTTTTAAGCCAAATTAAAAAATATATAATTTTGTCTTTTTGTTTTTTGTAAATACATGCATAATACACTTAGAATATACCTAGACCGTTACATATAATCATACACATAAATACAAATGTTTGCATCGTGTTGGGGAATCGAACTGGTGACCATCGGAAGTAAAGCGTTGTAATTAACCGCTATCCTATCGCGGCCATTAATATTAGTTGATTATAACTAAATAAAGAAAACTACATACAAAACATTAAAGGCATTGAAAATCATGAAGTTAAAAGTTTCGAACGAGCATATGCATTGGAAAGCGTATTGACTGAAACTCAAAATTTAATAGCTATCACCCCAAGAGATTACCTGAGGTAAATTGTCCTCCCTGTAGCCGCAGTACTTGACGAGTTGTGGCCAGTTCTCCAAATACTCTTCGCACGCGTGCATCTGATACAGTTTATGAAGCTCACGGAATACAATTCCCCTGCAAATTCGAAATAGAAATAATCTCTATTCAAATAAACTCAATACAAGCACTTTTGAATAGTCATATTTTTGATTGTACCACTCATTCGGAACGCAGATTCATCACAAGAAGAAGAAACTTGCTTCTAGATCAGAAGTGGTATTTAAAAAAAAACATCTATTCCAAAGAGCAATACCAATTTACCATATAGGATTTATATTTGAAATAGGTTGAATAGTCATTACATAGTATAAAAGTCGCTGTCGCTGTTTGTCTGGCCCTATGCATGCTTAAATCTTTATAGCTATGTACGTTTTTTTTAATAGATAGAGTGATTCAAGAGGAAAGTATATAGGTATAGTATAACACTGTACCTGAGCGAAGCCCGGGCGAGTGGCTAGTTTATTATAAAGTGAATATATATGCTTTATTATTACTTATAATTGTTATTTGCTTTAAAGACTGTAAAACTAAAGTCGTTCGCACTAAACTCAAAACAACAGACATCTAAGCTCAAACAGTCGCTGCCCTTTTGTCCGTGTGCTCATGACACGTGCCTCCGTTTTTTTTTTAATTAAAAATTACTGTTTCAAAGTTAAGTGAATGACTTCCTGACTGTCTTGCAACTGATACAAAACTCCATTAATCCTAGGATGACCGTAGAAGGGTTGTTGGAAGCCATAGAAGTCCATAAATAGCTATATTTGAAACATAAACTTGTTTTAAATTTGTCTCGTACGTACAATACGATAATATGTATGCTTAAAAATTGTTTAAAGCTTGCTATGATTTAAAAACTCGAGAAGTGCCTGTTTTCTCTATCAAGTAGTTAGTTAGTTCTAGTCTAGTTCTGACTATCAAGTATTTTCCTTTGTGGTATTGATAGAAAAAGACTCATAAAGAAGGTAGAAATATGTCAAAATTATTTTTTTTAAAACAAAATGAACGTATTTTTGCTCTTCTCTTTTTACAACAGTACATTAGTTCACATTGCATTATTAGAAGTATATATTTAAACTAATTGAATTAACTTTTGCAATATAGCGTGGGTATAGGATTCGCATTTTTGCAAGGAAAATTTTAAAATATATTTCTGTAGCTTTTACACCACAATGCAAAATAATTCGCAGATTTGTGCGAATTTCTACCGCAAGCTATTTAATGAAAGAATAACTAAGTTATGAAACGTATATATACAGTATAATACACATTAAATATAATAAGTTTTAAGCACTTTAGTCTTATATATGTATATATAGTTATAAAACAATCTCGGTTACAATTCTTTTAAAAAGATGCAAAGTAACACATCTAGTATAGTGTAAATTTTATATTCATAATTAGCACAACATAATGAAGTCAAACAAACTAATAAGTCTACAAAAATAATCAGTCGCATTGCCAAAACTGGACCAAATTATACAAGTATAACTCTCATAGTTTCATGCGAAAACTATGTATAATAAACTATCTACTAGCCCCGATTTCGCACATGTATTATACATATAAACCTTCCTCTTGAATCACTCTATCTATTAAAAAAACCGCTTGAAAATCTGTTGCGTAGTTTTAGAGATTTAAGCATACATAGGGACGGACAGACAGCGACAGCTACTTTGTTTTATACTATATAGTGATATTATTTAGCAACGATGGATTGGGTGAAAGATGATATGAATAAAGTGGGGTATGCTCAGATATGACGGACGATAGTGATCAGTGGGGATGACATACTGCGCCGACCACAAATAATGTTACCTACCCACTAATAGCTATGCCTCCATGTTTGGATGACTGGTAGAGATCTCTTTTAGAGATAAGTCCACTTTGTACATAAGTATGTTTAATACTGTATTTAAAAGAATATATATATAATGGAATAAATGCAAGGCAATTCTGAATATATAGCAACGGTATAAATAATATTTGTAAACTTACCAAGTCCTAATTTCAATATCCGTGTACTGGACCTTGGGAATCGGTTGCCCACTGCATAACAAAAGATTAAATATATACTCTCTTATTTATATAATATTGAAGTAATTTTCGAATAGTAATATAAACATATAGTATTATGTTTTAAACAAATCAATAAATTAATATATTTACATAACATAGAAGTAATTTTGTAATTATTTTGAATAATAATTGAAACAAAACGTGATCATGTTAAATTATATTATGTGATTAATTCTTAATTATTTTAGTAAGCGGAATAATGTTTTCTTAAAGAAACTAGTTTCTTAAAGAAACTATAATAATTTGTAGACTGGATGTATATGTATATTCTGTGGTTATATGTTAAAAAAAATCAGAATACTGATTAGTATTCAATATATTAGGTTCTACACGGCGTCGGAGGTCTAGCAGTTTTGCAAAACGCCTTAGTTCTGATGGTCGCGGGTTCGATTCCCCGGCCGTTACATAGATTTGTATTTACGAGTATGATTGTATGCATTGTTGTGCTCAATTTTGCTGTGGGACTAGACGGCACCTTTTAATATTATCGTATAGATATATTATGGACACTTAATACAGAATGCAAGGGGGAAGAGGACAGTCAGGAATATAGACTGATAATCTTATTGCTAGCGATGTACATATCATTTACTGTTATGCGGTTCCTCCTGGAAACCATCGTGATAAATTCCCAGTAAATTTTCCACTATGGGCTGACGGATCTGACCTTATTTTCATCTTACCATCATCCACTGGTACCCCGCCAGCATAAACCGTTAGCGCAGGTGGGTGCACCATATCATTATCACCAATTAAAAAAAAAGTACACAATATAAACAATGTATCATATACGACACTTACTATTTATAGTTGTTGGCAATAGCAGCGAATTGTTCGCGTCTTTTACGATATATAGGATCCTTGAAGCCTGGATGATCGGCATCGAGCTCAGAACCGTACATCAGTACATTCTGCGCTCTATCCAAATCGGATATTTTGCGAGGAAACCACACCATTTCACCGAAATCTGAAACGAATTATCTATTTATATATTATTTTATAATTGTACATGCATATACATAAATTTACATGTAATAAATAAACAATACACATGGACTCTGTTTAAAGAGTATGGTAATTTCGTAGATGACTCATTCCCAAAATTAAATTTATAATTTAAATCTGTTGTAGTGTTCACTTAGCTCCTATAGTACGTCTGTTAAAAATTATTTTACTGTATAGTAAGCTTTGTCGGTCAGTAATTCTTTAAGCCTTTTTTTAAATAAATTTATATATATAATTAATTTTACCTTCTTGTTTTATGGTTTCCGCGATTTTGTTATATATTACAATAAATTACGTAATACGGACTTGCCCTAAACATTTCTATTTTAGGTTCTGGTAGGGCCAGTTGCCTTTTTAATCTATTATTACATTTAAAATTAAAATATGATAGATGCTCATGAACAAATATAGGTATCTCCAATATATAAATAGACGGTCAAGTTAATATTTTTAGTTTTTGAAAGTGTGGTCTACACTGTCAAATGGCTTTATTTTTGCTATCACGCGCATGCACTTTTTTGTGTTACGAATATAATATAAATATTATTATATAATTATATATATAAATTAATTTCAATCTACTGTAATTCGGAATTTAATAGAACAAAAAAAGGGTATAATCAGGTTTCTTTTTAAATGTATTTAAGTATTTGTATGAGTGTGTATATATTTCTTACCTTTTAATTACTATAGCAATTCACAATTTGATATTAAAATATGTATAAGTACGCAGGATATAGTGTTACATCACAATGTCGAGGGTAATAAATTTAATGATATAAATTTAACGAAATTAATAGATGGGTACTTACATTTCTTAGTTTCTGAAACATAAATAAAAGAAAATAATAAAAAATAAAGCTAAAAATAAAATAAATAGAAATCTCCGTACAATTTATAATAATAACATAAGATAAAGATAAATTAATAAGAAATGCTAAAATAAATAAACAAAAATAGCCTTGTGATAATAAAATTGTATTAAATTTGATTAGATGTTAAATGATTTTTCTATTTAAATGAAATCAAATAACTAATAAATAATAAAAATACTTACAACATATAGTTATATCTAAACTGTAAAATAAACTTAGTAAGTGTACAAAAAAATAATATTTGCTAAAGAAAAAAATATCTATATTGAAATTTTTTCATTAATCATTCATTTATACATCGCAAATGCTATCCGAAATTCGGTTGGACAATCTGAAATTTAAATAGCAAATAGCAATCTCGTAATTGAGAATAGCCACTGACTATATAATAGCAAATGTTATCAAGTAAATTATAATATTCTGTAGATATTATTATTAATATTCATAATCTTTTACAACGATATCTCTAATAAAACTGACGTCCGATGGTTGCGGGTTCGATTCCTCGCACGGAACAAATATTTGTAGTCATGAGTATGATTCTTTGTATCGGTCTGGGTGTTTTCTATGTATATTATGTATATAATTACAAAAATAAATTCTATGTACTTGTATCAGTTATCCCGTACCCGTAACATAAGCTTTAGATAGTTTCTTGTCAGTTCTTCTCATCTCGAAATCATTCCGAACTGACGGTAGATTTGATATATCATAAGAATCTGTAATAGACCTACATGAATAAAGATTTTTTGAATTTGAATTTGAGATAGGTTAACTTGGGATTAGATGGCGCTGTGTAAATTGTCCTGAGATTATTATTGTTATTATTTAATAAAACTATAAAAAATATAATAGTTAGATTCGTATAACCAGAATATAAGTAATTAATCTTAGTGGCGTAGTAATTTAACTTACTGTCTTAATTGGGGATAGTCGGAGGTTCATTCCCTGTATAGTACTAAAAATGAGTATTTGTATTCTTCAAGATTTTTAATATGTACATTTAAAAAAGATATAATATTAAGACATGTCTATCAATATTTCAATCCCCATACCACAACTGTTTCGGGATTAGTCTTTGTATTTCACAAGAATTTTATTGTTAATTTAAATAACAACGAAAACGTATAAACAAGAATTTACTGTTGTCTATAAATAAAGGTTTTTAAAGTATTTCCTTGTAAATTGGTATTAATAATTATTTCTTATGAAATATATATTCTGTTATATTATTTTTGTCATATGTCATACTTACCGAAGCTGGCTGCAGCAGAGAGCGGGGTTGGTGGAGGGAACTCTTCACCGACCTGTGGTGATATCACTTCGAAATCTTGGACTTCGCGCTTCAACATCCTCTGCAGCTGCTCCATTCGTCGTGGATCGCATTCAACGTCAACCAGGATATCCGCCTGTTAATAACGTAAAAACTAAAACGTAAACCATTCTGGTTAGCAAAATCATTTTATTGCGAACTCACTAGTTTAAAAAAATATAAATCTGTGTATCTATCTGTAACTATTTATCTCCAAATTTACTCAAATAAACACTTTATATTACATTCTAATACTCCGAACGAGTCACCAATACAATGAGCGTCTTTTCTCAAATAGGGATATTTTCTATTTAACCCTGCATCAGTTCCGAAGACAGTTAAAGTTCGTAAACAGTTAAATTAAAATACAGTGAAGTTATGTATAGTAGTAGTAGTAGTTTAATGTAGTATTTTTTTTTATAATTTTTTATTAAAAAAATCTACTTACGTACTACATAATACTACAAAATTATTTATAGTATTACGTAGTTCTATACTACTTTCTGTTTACTTTACTCTTTATTATCTAGCATATATTGCATGCATCGCTATGATTTAACTTCTAGGCTATATAGTGTTAGACTACAGTCCAGTATTTGTATTAACTACACGCTTCTATACGAATACTTATGCATATGGTAATCTCTTTTTTGTGATAATAAATAAATACAGAATATGATTCGCTGCTAATTTCCTTCATTTATACCTAGGTATGCTTGATACTAAGTCATTTGCTATTTGCTCACCTATTTCAGCCGCCAAACCGATTGGTTTCCAGCTTGTTTTTTTGTCAAATAAAATTTATTACATCAAAACAACATATTATAATCTATAGATGAGATCATTATTATTATATTACTTAGTGTAATTATTACAATTTTAACTACTATGTTACTACTATTATACTTAATGAGTTTATGATATGTTTTTCATGTAAGTCTCGACATTACATAATATCACTGGTGCAATTATAGGAATATTATTATTTTATTTCTTAGTATAGTTATTAATGTTAATTTTTAATTTCACAATATGATTTTATAATAAATAATGTTCTTTATTGTGGTCTGCATATTACACAGCACTTGTGTCTTTACTAGGCTATTATAATGGCATATATGAATGACATCCAGGTAATGTATACCAATCTGAAAATTAAGTTTAAACTGTTGATTCTAGATGAATAAATTATAAGTTCAAAATTCGGACAGCTTATCCGCCATACTCGTGAACGAGTGCTGCATGTGGGTACTATTAGCATTACGGCCACTGACTGAATAATTCCGGCGCATAAGCAAATAGCATATGCCAGTGGTCACTATTCCCTGATTGAATTCTCATACATATACATCATACTCATTTGAAAAGAATAAGTGATGAGTTTCTTGTCAGTTCTTCTTAGCTCGAAAGCACTCCGTACTGACGGTAGATTTGACATACCATAAACGCTGCTATAAACGAACATGAATAAAGATATTTTAATTTGATTGTATGGTAAATAAAACCGCAACTGTGTAATAATCAAATCGAATAGTAAACCGCAATACCACTTACTCATTGTTAGGTAGTTCACTATTAATATACTCTGCGAACATCCATTTTGGGTTTACAGTAACATTCCAAGTTGATATAAAATAAATTTTAAAATAATGATATTTATATATAAATAAAATGTATAACAAAATTCTGCTATTTTATATATATATTTATATAATTTAAATAAAAGATTTAGTCTATAAAGGACTATTGATAAATAAATTAAGTTGCTTTAAAGAAAGATTATATTTTTTAAGAAATATCACAATCGGTTAATATAATAATATTTAACACTATTTAATATAATTATTATCGTATTAGTCATAAATTAAAAATAAAAACAAACAACTATTATTGTATTACAGTAAAATGAAATTGAAATCAGGAATGAAACGAAATCCTTTCATTTATAAGATCTGGGTAAAGTGTTTCTAAATAAAATTCATTTATTAAATGCAATAGCAATAACTGCAATTTGACAGAATAAAAAACAGAAATATTTTCAATATTTTATATTCATTTTATTTATTTCCCTTTTGTTTTGTTTAATTTCTTATTATATATGTATATTGATAGATTTTTTTTGCTTCATCCGCAATTAACATAAAAAAAATTAAACAAACAAGTAACATAAATTAAATCACTAAACATTTTGCTGTATTAGCAAATTGTTTCTATAGACGGGATGCATAAGTTACGCCTTTACATATAATATTTACTTATTTACTAAAAATAGTCAAGGCATTATTACGTTTATTAAATTAAATTTGTATGTTAAAAAATATTGCATGTCTATTTATCTAAATAGACAGTTATTCATTGCCGTCGCTGAAGGTAAAAAATTGCAACTCACCGCAGCGTTGGCAGTCACAGATTTCCTAGATTCTATATGAAGGACATTGATGCCCAAATCTTGGAATACAGTCAGTGCTCGAACCAATCCGCCGACTTGGTTCTTCAAAGTAAATATCACTGAAATCCTCTCCCCTTCCGAAGCTGCACGCTGCTGAGCCGCCATTTGTATTTCTGCCAATTTCGGATGATGTGGAATCTCGTTTTTTACTTGCCAGTCAGAACCATTTCTATATAACCACAAACCCAATAAACCCTTTCCTGAACCACTCATTATGTAGAAATATAGACAATAAAATAAATTTAGTATTATTAAATTAAATAATAATATTTATTTCTAAAGATAAATTAAAATAACATTACGCATTAGATGTATTCGAAATTCAAAATCGATAAATGAAGATAATATTAATTTAATTAATATTAATTTTAAATTAGGAATTCTAAATACGAAATATAACAGAAAACTTATCTCACTATATTTAATTTATAATTAAAATACTGTAGATATAAATTATAATAGATAATGATTAAAATTATATTGGAAATTTATATAGGGTGATCGTATTAGGGATGCGCTGTTGCAATCGTGGTGATATACTGTGCCATCGTCGAGGTCTGTACGGTTTATAAAGAGAAGAGGCGCGGGAGACTGGTCGGAGGGTGGGTATATTTGATTGGCTGAATCAAGTGTTCGGTGTAACTTGGAAAATGTTCTCTTTTCACGTCCTAAAGTCACGGATACACTTTGCTGGTGTTAAGTTTATTTCAGTAAATTTTATAGATATCATGCACTCGTGATTGAGAAGTTATAATGAAGGACTATTGAATCATGGAAAGTTAATTTGCTATTTTTAGAACTATATATCTATAACGTAAGTATTATTTATACTATAATCATTATAATGTTAAAATAGCATAATTTATTAAAATATAATAATACATTGTAATGTTAACTTTCCCTTAATTCATTAATCGATGAGTTTTCTTTATATTTTTGGACAAGTGATGTACTGTTTTATTTGATTTTTAAATCGATACATAAGTAAACGATATATTAAATTGTTAATATAACATTATTTTTATTATGACTGACTTATTAAAAAAATTATGGTGTTTATTAATTACTAGTTTTCTAAATCAAATAATGTATTTGCAGAATATAGAGTTTTTTTTTATAAAGTTAACGGACAATACTTCTGTATCCATTTATCCTCTATAGACAATATCTGGTTTTTGATTGTGTTTTTTTTATAAAGTTAAACTGCAATACCTCTATTACCCCAATTAAAGGTACGTTCATATAGTTATCAAATTTATAATTATAATTATAAAAAAAAACGTAAAGTTCTCACGTATGTGCAGGGGCCATTACAGCGACGTATAGACAGCTCGCTATGTAAGTGTAGACTAGCATATATATATAGAATCCTCCTGACGTTGGCTGACGATCTTAAACGGCGTAGTCAGTGTATTTATTACCATTGTTTAGAGGAAAGAGCATTCTCTATCATTCATTATCTAGCTGGGTGCTCAGCCATTATTCAGTTGCCTTGCGGTCGAATAAAATAAAAGGTTTCAGAAATATTCAATGAGTACTATTTTAGGAAATTTAGTGTTCTGCCTAACGGTTTACTACCACGAACATTTAAGAGGTCGAGAGTTTAATAGAATGAAATTAGATTCTCTATTGAAATATACTTAAATTTAGAAATCTTTGAATAAGCATGTTTATATATTTTACGAGACGTATTAAACTTAAGATAAGCATACTTATTTTTAAGATTTGCGATGAAGCAACTTTCCGAATAAGTGTTATCTAATGCTCATTCGGAAAGCTGAATACAAGAAGAACGAGCAAGAAACCAGTTTATTGCTCCTTTAAATAATTGTTATATCTTTAAATTTGGAAGATACAAAAAACTGTGTATGTTTATTATTTCTAGAATAAACCAAATTTATCGTAGAGATGTCGAAGGCTTGCCATATTGGTCCAATTATACAGAGTTAGATGTCGGCAACAGGTGTTGTGATCTCCACGACAACGTTATTTGGTAATCCCTTTGATTGATCATTCCTTTTGATGGTATGGGAAATTTTATTAATTTATCACTATTTAGAGTCAATATTTTGTGGGAATTCTCTCGCTTCTCTCTATAATGCCTCATGCATAATTTTCCATTTTGTTCTATCTGTTGCATATCTGCCGTTTTTTCTTGATTTCGGGGATTACAATTGTGTAAACAAATATTATAAGGAATTTCTGTTTATAAAAGTGACTAATAAAATAATTCCATTACTTCTCCCAATTAATGACAGCTACGACATTGAATATGGATTTACGTATATTATTTAAAAATATCCTTATATGAGATGATTATCAGGCAATGTCAAGGTTTTTTAATGGATGAATATGGTATGGCCTGCGCTAAAGATTTTCGTTTGCTGGGCATCAATGGGGTTCATATTGAGTATGGATCAGGTGAAATCAGCCAGTCTATCGTCGCAAATTTTTCAATAATTAACTATCTCTCTTGGGAGAACACGTGAATGTTGATAATGGAGTTTTAGATGGCAAGAGTCTGGACGTAGATTCTAGTACCTGTTCGTTACCCTTGGACCGCTCCAATGTCGAATGAATTCCCTCAAAAAATAAAACATTATAACTAATACACATATACATACAAACAATATAAATAATTTATAATTCAATGTTGTAAATACATATCAATTACTTTGACTATAATTGACTAGAACTTCACCTTTGACTTTGCCCGATAACTGTGTCTTTGAATTTGACATTTAGTTATTGATTATTACATTCTGTTTGTTTATTTCTTTAATATTAGTTGCATTTTTCAGATTTTTTTTTACTATTAATATTATGAAATATTTTACATAGGGCCGTATGCCTTACGCTTGAATAGAATAGAATAGAATAGAAAATCATTTATTCAAATAAACTTAATTTAAGCACTTTTGAATAGTCATAACAATTTGTTTTTTATCTACCACTCGTTCGGAAAGCTGTCTCATCACAAGAAGAACGAGCAAGAAACTTGTGTGTTACTCTTTTAAATAATCCTTGTAAGTTTACATTTACAAGTCGAAACGTGTGAATACAAACTACCAACAAGCACTAATTTTTTGGGTCAAATATAAATATGCTATTCTTATAGCTACGACTACGACTGATTTAATCTTTTAAATCAGTTACCATATTTTAGGGAGCCCAATGACTTAGCCCACCACGCCGCCACATGTCTGGACATTTTAGTGAGCATGACTACTCATTCCACTCGACCACGTCACAGCTACAAAAATTACTATATGGTAGTTACAGTATTCGCACTTTACATGAGGATGCATGCGGCAATCAATACAAAAGCTGCTACGCTATCATCAAGAAAGCAGCTTGATGCCGTATGTTATACTATACCATCTAACTATTGGACATATATTTAAAAGAATTGAAAACGCGAAAACAAGCATATAAAAGCTAACTATTTCTTTCAATCAAGAGCATTGATTTTAATTACATATTATACTAGTAGTGCCCGCGGTTTCGCATGTAATTCATACCCTATATGTTATTTTGATGTAGGTATATAAGCTATATTACTGTAAAGTTTCGTTAAAATCCATTCAGAAGTTATTGTGTGAGTAGAAATTAACAGAAAAGTTAGATGTTTGAATAGACGTCTTTTATTGCAGAGCGCAGAATTAATTAGACAGAATTAATATAAAATAAAAATTATATATAGAACATCATATTTTGAATATGGATAAAAAGAATATAAAAACTATGACTACCAGTGACTATCATTGTAGGTATAACAGTGTGAAAGAGTAAAAAACTATCTATATACACAAACTTACACTTTTCTAAGATTACTAAGATAAGAGATATATACTATTTTAAATTTGACGCGATCATTATTTATACGTATAATTAGTAAAAATCAGCGATGTTACCACGTTTTATATTTATTTGCTGAGTTCCCTATCTCACTCAACTCAGCAAATAAATATAAAACGTGGTAAGATCCCGTGATTTTTACTAATTATACGTATAAGATAAGGTAAGCTAACTTTCAATCAAGGAATGGTGTTGGCTTGGGAAATTCAGTAATTTTTCATTTAACTGTGTAAAGAATTTAGCTGTTCTTATTGAGATAAGAAAGAGAGATAAATATTGAGATAGCCAAACACTAATTCGTTATTTTTTTTTTCGGACTACCCTAATGCTGTTGGCCGCAGCTGGCCTTTACAGCTTTACCGGACGTTAGGGGGCGAGTGCAGATGGCACTAACCCGCGGAAGGACTTATGGAGCGGCTGAAGGCCAACTCCTGCCGACGGATACGACTTTAGTCTGAGGGCACCATTAGGGGTTCGAACCTCGGCTCAGGCCGTCGTAATTTCGATCCCCGTTTGAATTGGACGGGGGATCGATCGGAGGTACTAATTAATTAACTATATTCGCAACCTTTCGCGTTCATACTATTCCTATGATTTTTTTATTGTAATATACCAGTTGGTAATAATTGTATTATAAATATTATTAATTATTACGATATTATAGTAACACTTATTGCGTGTTTATAATTATTATAATCTTGGATTATTATTGAATAATTAATGCGTATAATTACCGGTAGTAATTTCATAATAAATGATACGGGTATGATAAGGATTGTTTGTTTCAATAGAAAATCGTATACTTCTTACATTCTCGTATATATATTCACATAGTAATATATCTAGTAGTGGATGTACTTTATACTATGTACTTTATGTAGTTTTTTATAATAATAATAATAAATGTTACAGCTCACGCTAATTTTGGAGTCAGAACTGCATCATGCTGTACACTGATGAAGCTTTAAATAAATAAATAAATAAATAACCTATAAAAATAAAACATGGTCGAGCGCAGTGATAGCTGTCTCGTCATACTCGTGAACGAGTGCTGCTTGTAGGGACCGGTCTGCTCTTATCACTACGACTGATTTAATCTTATTGTATATTTATATTTGACCCAAATAAATTAGTGTTGATTGGTAGTTTGTATTCACACGTTCGACTTGTAAATGTAAACATACAAGGATTATTTAAAAGAGCAACACACAAGTTTCTTGCTCGTTCTTCTTGTGATGAGACAGCTTTCTAAACGAGCGGTAGATAAAAGAAAGTGTTATTATTATTCAAAAGTGCTTAAATTAAGTTTATTTGAATAAATGACTTTCTATTCTATTCTATTCTATTCTAAAACC